CCCATCAACAACCAAGTGCAGTGAAGGCCGAGCAGGAGACGCCTGCAGCCTTCGGAAACAAGCCTCACCAACTGGGATAGTGTTGTTTATGGGTTGGTTTGGTGCCAAAGCCACTTCCTTTCTCTGTCATGGTACTTGTGTCTCTCCTGACCACAAAGTTAAACACAGAAAATCATAAGGCAATCGCCTAGATTTCTTCGAAGGCATAGGGACAACTCTTGGCCAGGACCAGCATCCTGGGCATGCTACCTGTGTTGTCATATAGGGCGCAGGTGTACAAGGGCTCCACTCTGCTGCCTCTGTCTTGAAATTCTTAATACTTTTTGAACAAGGAACTCCATTATTTATGAATATCCAGATAGTGCATGCAAAGCTATTAGGTGTTTTTTTTTTTTTTTTTTTGACAGAGTGGACAGTGAGAGAGACAGAGAGACAGAGAGAAAGGTCTTCCTTTTTTTCTGTTGGTTCACCCCACAATGGCCGCTGCTGCTGGCATGCTGCGGCTGGCGCACCGCACTAATCCGAAGCCAGAAGCTGGGTGCTTCTCTTGGTCTCCCATACGGGTGCAGGGCCCAAGGACTTGGGCCATCCTCCACTGCACTCCCAGGCCACAGCAGAGAGCTGGACTGGAAGAGGAGCAACCGGACAGAATCCGGTGCCCTGACCGGGACTAGAACCCGGGGTGCTGGCACCACAGGCAGAGGATTAGCTTATTGAACTGCAGCGCTGACCTGTTAGGTATTTTTAACACAAGAACATGACCTATTGTTTTTCTTATTGCATTCTTACCAATAGTAAGAGAACCAAAGGAATTTAGGATTGAAAACAATTAGGCTGAGATGGAAACGGACCCAGTTTTTAATAAAAATTAAATTTTGAGTACACTATATTACAGTGCTAGGATATCCATCATTTCTGCTTTCTGTCTGGATTGATTAGAGTATTTTACAAAATGTGGTTTGCTAGACATGGTAAACTAGATATAGTGTTGCCACATAGAGGTCACTGTAAGGTTTTTGAGAAAACCTGGGTACCAACCAAGGTGTTGGGAAATGTAGCATACCTGTTAATAGCTACAGCGCTAGCCCCATTGAAAAGTGAAGACTGTGAGGTTTCAAAGCATCCCTTACCCTTCCTTTGTCCCTTTATGCTTGTATCCCCTCCTTGCCACATTTAAAATAGCTATGTTTTGGGGAAGATTCTCATTCTCCCTCTGTCATGTGATTGGATAAAAAAAAATTCTACCTTCCATTTTTATGTGGCTTTGTTCTTAGTTGACTTTCCTGATTAGAAAGCAATCTAAGCCTTTTCACCAAGATGGCGCCCAAGGAGAAGGAAGCTCCTGCCCCTCCCCAAATCAAAGTCAAAGCAAAGGCTTTCAAGGCCAAGAAAGCAGTGCTCAAAGGTGTCCACAGCCACAAAAAGAAAAGATCTACGCGTCACCTACAGTCTGGTGGCCCCAGACACTACTCCTCTGGCAGCAGCCCAGATATCCTCAGAAGAGCACCTCCAGGTCTGCGGTGAAGAAGACAGAAGATAACAACACACTGGTGGTCATCGTGGATGTTGAGGCCAACAAGCACCAGATCCAACAGGCTGTGAAGAAACTCTATGACATCGATGTGGCCAAATTCTGACAGAGAGAAGAAGGTGTATGTTGGACTCGCTCCTCATTATGAAGGTTTGGGTGTCACCAACAAAACTGGAAACGCCTAAACTGAGTCCAGCTGGCTAATTCAAAGCATATGTTTATTTCACCATTTAAAAGAAAGAAGACAATCTGATCATTAATAATATCTGTTAAAGTATTACCTGGTACTAACTTGAGATGTGACTTCTACCTGGAATGCCCTGCATCTAAATATTCAATAACACACAGTCTTAAAGACTCAAAGAAATAAATCTGTCCGAGAGCCACTGTGAAGCCATGATAAGCCAGCAGGTGCATCCTGAAGGCCTTTTATTGCACCAGGTAGATAGCTGCCTTTATGTGTGCTTCTAAGTGCTGCCCAAGATGGCCTTGTGCAGTCAGGAGATGGAAGAAAGCATCCCAATGTTCCTTTCATTCGTCCTGAACTTGAATAGCTCAATAACTCATCCAGAATAATGATTCAGACCTTGTCACTCCATCCCACTTATGGCAGAGGGTAACTTACAGAAAAAAGTAGATGTTTTTATACAACCCCATCCTCCTCGCTGATGCTGCTCTCCAAGCCACTGAGAAAACAGAAGTAATCACTGGAGAACTGTCACAAGCTCCCCACATTTTGTTACCAACAACTGCTCACCTATATATTCTGCCTCCTCTTCACACTCATGGTGAATTGTCCACATTTCTGTGTAAGGCTGTCAGATCCCTTTGTCACTCACCTGCAGCACTCCAGTGGTTCATCCTTTGCTTCTGGATCATTCCATTATTACTTCCCTTGTCTTAAAAACAATCACAACTACCTCTCTTGATTTCACTTCCAGCTCAGGCTACTGTCCATTTCTATTTCCTTTCACATCAAAACTCCTTTTAAGAAAACTTCCCTATTCTTGTCCCAAAGTCTTGTCTCCCATTCTTGAACCTGCTTCATTCAAGTTCTTGTCCCTAATAGCTCCCAATACTGTTCTAGTTAAGTTCACCAATGACTTCCACGTTGCTCAGCCCAACGGTTTATTCTCAGACCTCTTGACACCTGACTTCTCAGCCACATTTGAGACAGTTCATCACTCTCCACACTTGATCTTAGCCAAAAGGCTGAGAAGTTATAGCTCATCACTCTCTTCTTCATATTTTCTTTGCTTGGCTTCCTGAATCCCACACTCTCCTGATATTTTTTCCACCTCACTGGCCATTCCTTTTCATGTTCTTTGCTGATTCTTTCCCCTTCTCCACATCCTCTTTAACTATAGAAGGCCTACCCAAGAAAAGATCCTTGGACCATTTTTCTTCTGAATCTATATTCTATTCTTTGGTGATCTCATCTGGACTTAGGGCTTTCAATGCTATCAGTATCTAAATATTCCCAAAGCACTAATGCCAGCCCAGGCCTTTCTCTGGAACTCGATTCAAATATCCAACCATTTCAGTGTCTAAGAGGCATCTCATTCTTTATCCTGATCTTCCTTTCCAATTCTACTATTGTTCCCTCTCCCTCCAGCCTATGCACAGCAGGCTGACTGGAGGAAATCCTATTAAAATATAGTGCAGATGACATCACTCCTCTACTTCAAACCCCACAAGGTTTCTGCTCACTCTCAGGATACAAATCAGAAGTCTTCGCTATGACTTATGAGGTCTCAGCCCATCTATCCCTCCTTACTATTCATTCTGTTACGCCTCTGTCCCTCTCTAGTGCTCATTCTGCTGTAGCCACGCCACCTTCCAGCTGGAACAGGCCAGTCATGTTCATGCCTAAGGGCCCGTCATTTGCTAACCCTGTGCCCAGGTGCTTGTCCCCCAGATATCCCCCAAGATGTTCCTTTGCATCTTTCATGTCTTTGTCCTAAACTATGTTCTTGCTGAGCTCTTCCTGCTTATTAAAACTGCAATGCTGCTTCCTATCCACCTTCTCTGATTGATTTTTCTCCTGTGTGCTATCACCTTCTAGCAATGGGTTTTTCTGATTTTTTTTTTCCATTTGTGTCCCTCACACCCATAATAAACTATATGAGGGATGGGATTGCTATCTGATACCTGATGTATCCCCAGGGATTGGGTTAGCAACTAGAGCCATATAAGATGTTCAATACACAGATGTGAAATGTGTGATAATGTATATTCCTGCCAAGGGACATGGCTTGCACAGGATCTTCAGAAAACCAGTTTCCCAAAGATAGGGATCAGATCTGCAACCAAAGCTCTCTTTTTCACACTCTTCTTCACAAGCCTGTAAGAATGACTGCAGGGCATATGCCTATGTTTGTGTCGTGAGCTAAGCAAGATTTGCTGTGAGTCCAGTCAGACCACTGACTCTTGCCCTTAGAGCTAAATGTGTGCAATTGGAATGCTGTGCAACATTTTTCTTATTTGTTCATGGCTATTTTTTTTAACTCAGTAATTATGATGTATCTTGGTTTCCTATAAACTGCTTCTTTTAAAATGCTATTATAAAGATTAAGTTTAGGAATCATTTGTAGCAATAAAATAGTATTCAAGGCTGGTATATTATCATCTGTTGCATTTATTCCATTTTTTGGTTATATCGAATAACTTCACATTTAAAATAAATAATTGCTGCCCCCACAGAAGTACATCTTGCTTTCATCAGAGGTTGTAGCAAAACAAGTGAGTTCTGGAAATGCTTATTTGGACAGCAGCAACCTGCTGTCATCTCAGAACACTTGCTGGCAGCTGCTGGAGAATTGGTGCCTAAGCCAACAGGGCGAGCCGACACACTGAGCAAATGGGAGGAGATAGCTGCGGATCGGGAGTTTCAGACTGCCCATACTCGTCCTTCTCCCTCCCCAGTTATAACAATAAGACATACAAGAAACATTTGTAAAATTTATTTGCAATGCAGGATGTAAGATGCATAAAATATCTGGCAGTGGCATCTTGCCTCTGAACTTGATTTATAAAAATATTAGTGAGCTCAGTCTTCTGTATTTTTCAGTTTATTTGGGGAATGATGAAGAGAGTCTTTTTAAAATAGATATAAAACTTCAGACTTTGATGTCACTTATCACAGTATCGTCTGGAATTCCGAAAATGTTCTGTCAGCGGTGATTTGGGTCTTTCTGGACTTGACATTTGATAGAAGTTGGGTAACCGAATATCATAATGATATCTTTTTCCTATGTATACCCTGTCATTCAAGGCATAGAGTTTATCTGCAATGTCACTGCCAATTAAAACTGAAAACAGGCGGGAGATGTAACGATGCTGAGCAAAGAGCAAATATAATTTCTTTCTCCTCCAAGACACATATCGACAGTCAGTTTCTGCTGTTAGGGTTACCTAAGAAAACCATGAAACCACATGTAAGCAAACATTAGGAAGTAAGAAAATTGTGCCATACTTTTCCTGTCACCAATTTTAAATGAATTTCATTTGTTTCCTTTTAAGATTAAAAAAGCTTACTAACTCACAAAAATACTGTAAAAATAGAAAAATAAATTACAAATTATTACTGTATATAATTTATTTTATGAAAAATCACCATGTTTGCCCACCTCCAATTTTTATCTCTTCTCCTAAATTCAAGTATCTATATTTTATATTTTATTGGAGAAAATGCTACTTGATATTCAAAAAATAAGGTTGGCTAATGTTAAAGATGTCTGAGGGAGGGTATTGCAGGAAGTTCATGAAAAATGGAATTAATAAATAGGTTTATGTGACCATGAGACATCACCTCACCCCTGTCAGAATGGCTGTTATCCAAAAGACAGAATAACAAGTGCTGGTGACAATGTGGACAAAGGGGAACACTTATACATTGTTAGTGGGGATGTAAATTAGTGCAGCCATTGTGGAAAACAATGGGAAATCTTTCTCTCTCTCTCTTTCTCTCTCTCTCTCCTTCTAAGATTTATTTATTTACTTGAGAGGCAGAGTTACAGACAGAGGGAGACACAGAGAGAGATCTTCCATCCACTGGTTCACTCCCCAAATGGCTGCAACGCTGGAGCTGGGCTCATCCGAAGCCAAGAGCTTCTTTTGGGCCTCCTCTGAGGGTGCAGGGGCCCAAGGACTTGGGCCATCTTTCACTATTTTCCCAAGCCAGAGCTGGATCAGAAGTGCAGCAGCTGGGATTCAAACCGGTGCCCATCTGGGATGCCAACACTGCAGGTGGATGCTTAGCCTACTATACCACAGCACTGACCCTGGAAATTTCTTAAAAAAATAGAAATAGACTTGCCATATGATCCAGCAATTCCACTCCTGGGTAAGTACTCAAAAATTTGACCACAATACATCAAAGAGATACGTGCACCACCATGCAGTACTGTTCATAAAAGCCAAAATACAGAGTACAGAATCAACCAGAGTGTCCATCGTCAGTTGAATAGATGAAGAAAATGTGGTATAAATGGCCAATGGAATATTGTTAAGCTATAAAAAGAATGAAATTCTACCATTTGTATCAAAATTGATGCAACTGGAGGGCATCGTATTGAATGAAATACAAATACCACATGTTCTCCCTTATCTTTTTAATTCTTTTTAATTCTCCCTTATTTTTTAATTTTAAAAAACTTTTTAAAAAACACAAACAAAAAATGCCTGTGTGTACTACTATTACTGCAAATATAGTTTTGTCAAACTTTGTTTTATATTTTTGTCAAACCAATGATTAAGAATGTTATACACTATAGTTTTGTTTTTTTTGTTTTGTTTTGTTTTGTTTTTGTTTTTGTTTTTGTTTTTTTTTTTTTGACAGGCAGAGTGGACAGTGAGAGAGAGAGACAGAGAGAAAGGTCTTCCTTTGCCGTTGGTTCACCCTCCAATGGCCGCTGCGGCCGGCGCACCGCGCTGATCCGATGGCAGGAGCCAGGTACTCATCCTGGTCTCCCATGGGGGTGCAGGGCCCAAGCACTTGGGCCATCCTCCACTGCACTCCCTGGCCACAGCAGAGAGCTGGCCTGGAAGAGGGGCAACCAGGACAGAATCGGGCACCCCAACCAGGACTAGAACCCGGTGTGCCGGCGCTGCAAGGCGGAGGATTAGCCTAGTGAGCCACTGCGCCGGCCCTATACACTATAGTTTTTAATGATATGTGATTACTTTAAAATTTACTGTATATGGATGAAATGGTCATCTTTCCATTTGATTACTGTTCACAGCTGTTGTTTATATTCCCGCCAAATTAAGGTCTTTTTACATTTTAATTGTTGAACTCTTTATTTAGTGGAGCATTAAGCCTTGGACTGTAATGTAAATTAAAAATGTTATCTCAAAAACTAAAAAAGAAAGGGAAGGAAGAAAGGGAGGCAGAAGGGAGGGAAGGAGGGAAGGAAAAAAAGGAAGGAAAGAAGAATGGAAGAAATGGAGGGAGGGTGGATGAGAGAGGAAAGGTGGCAAGGAGATGGATGGAGGGAGGGAAGAAGGGAATATTATATTGTTAGAATTGTTATCCATGAACTGCACTGAATCTGTTCTCCTTGTATTAATACCACATTAACATGAAAAATTATCAGATGGTAAAAATAGGTTTATGTTGGCACAAAAAATATTGAAATTCATATATAATTTTTTTCATTATATACATTTTGCACAACATTTCTGAAGTTTCATTGTATTTTCCAAGTCAATTCTGAAGCTATGGGCACTTAACCCTAACTCAACTTTTGTAATACAATAGAATTTATATACTTATTTTGCATGTATATTGATTTATATCTGCATATATATGAATATTTATATGTTCATGAATCACAGGAAACCAGTATAACATAATGAATTGATCCTACTGAAATGGTTATCTTTCAAATCTACTAGAAACGGCAGGAGAGAGTGGTGACAATAAATTGTTAATATGCTGTTGCTGGAAAACAACTGATACCCAGCAGCATTTTAAACTTTGAAGAATCTCAATTAGTTTACATGTTAATCCCCATATATGCAACTGTATGAAGGAAAGCTTAAGAACATTCATCACACACTCCTTACTGTCATATATCACATCTGTTCTCAACATTGCTGTACCTATAGTGACAGCAATCAGCATGAGTTGAACAGAATTGGGAAGCCACATGTACTCCAAAGTTAAATGCAAAGTATTCTTATGTGCGCTGCTGTTCTGTTTGGTTTTTAAACCAACACTGTTCTTCTGTTTGGATGACAGAGGATTAATTGTGTGTCTAGTTATCTCTTACCTGAAAAATGCCTTCCTCTGTGGGTCTCAGTGAATCCCACTCAGGAGAATCCAGGAACTGAAAGGGGAAAATGTAATGCAGAAACTCGCCGTCAACTGTCACTCTGATCCTACCAAAAACAAGAGCATCATTTATGAGGGAAGGAGGAAGAGAGCAGATATTTGGGGGCAGGAGCAGGGAAGGAGTGGTTCTGAATACCTCTCTAGAATTTTGCAAGTCAAAATATTAAATTTATACATTAAATGGTACAATATCCTACAAGATTCATGAACTGATGTTCCTCACAGGATTCTGGAATATTGAGTGAAATGCATTAGAAAAGTTATCAAGTTATACACTTATATGTCCAATTATGTGTGCATATTATACTTCAATATAAAGTTCCAATGTACTGAGGCAGATAAGAACATAAAGGAGTTTTGCTACAAAGAGCTTTGTAAACTCAAAATTTGACCTTTCAGAAAACATGAATAATCACATTACTGTTTCCCACCAAACTTTGTTTCTGAAGCTTAGATTTCTATATATATTCTTGAGGTGTCCCCTCCCCCTGCTTTCAGCAAGTAGGTAACTATTAGAATTTTGATAACTATAAAAATTAAACCTCTATTGCTAGTCATTGACACATTCCATTTTATGAATAACTAAATCTTTTCACAATGAAATACTTTAAAATTTAATTCAAAATGCCTTTCAGAATACATTGATAGAGTGGCTACTACAAGAAGAAATACAGAGAAGGTATACCCAAAGGCGGGGTATAATCTCTGTCTTAAATTGTGTTACCATAGTCTGCAATCTGAACATGATCCAGAGGTAATAGAAATTGTATTTTACTTTTACAAAGAAGGGGCTTGGGCTGTAAGGGTTTTGCTCTGATTCGATTGTAACTGTTTAATCAAGTTACTTTATGTAAATCATTTACTTCATTGTTTAATAGAGTAAACTTAATTATACTGTTTATTATTTGGCCTGTCATTCTATTGAGAGAGTTATAGTATACATTACATTTCAGATAATAATATTTAAATTCCAATGTTTGTACTATTCCAGTTTTCACATTGTGGGAGTAACTAAAATAGACTTTTAAAAATTAAAAAAACTCAATTGCTTACAAAAATGTTTGATCAAAGAGTCTATTTTAAATACTTCACATGCCAACATAAACATTCTAATAATTCAAAGTGGCATCATCCTGTCCTTGACTTTCAGTGATTATGAGGAGAATAATATCATACCCAGATAAACAAATTCGTACTGTGATTTTAAGACCCACATTATTTGATTTCTGAGATGAAGTAATAAGGCTGTCAACTACTTCCCGCTGCAAGTAAAGCATACCATGTACTCTCAATGTCTCTGTCTATGACTCATGTTTCAGAAGATTTTCAAGCTTCGGTGGCTAAACACCACCCAGGACTACACTAAGAGGGAAAAATTCAGTGGAACAACACACAGATAATTAATACAGAGAAAAGACATGCAAGCACCAAGGGTACAAACCTTCCTGAAACAAGCAGGGAGAGTTTATCAATGGAGGTTTTCCCCTGCATGGCATAACAGTGCTCCTTTTCCAAAGTAACCACTTCAGAGCTCAAAGCAATCGTTCTGAAGACAGGCAAAGAGATCCCCAAAGGCTGGAAAAGGGAGCTGTACAACACCTGGAATTCTCGGGCAAAGGTTATGCTGCGAACTTGATAGGCAATATGAACAAATTGCATGAAGCAGATGACAAACAGTACAAAATTCCAGGAAAATATGTCAGCTGCACACACATCTACCCAAGCCCAGACAGCAGAACAGAGAAAACCCAACCCCAGCAAACTGAAGACATAAAGGAGCCCGAAGAATCCACTGCCACCCATGAAACCTACTACAAATAAAATACTGGCAAGATGATAAATGGCGCCTTCAGCCTCTTGCTTCCAGACTGTGCAGACTGGGTGTTCATCTATCAGGTTCTTCCATAAACTTGAATTTCTTTCCATGGCTGTGCTACTGTCTGCTTCACTTTTCAGTTGACTTTAGATGACATTGGGGCAAGTAATTAAGTCCTTTGTATTTCCATAATCAGAGTTTTGCTCAGTCTTCACAAACCACAAAAAGCCTGGACACAAGTTGTTGTTGATTAAAGGACTGCTGTGTATGGATCTTGAAAAACTAGGAATCTCATGCTAGTTTCTTAATGTTCATCTGAGTTCCTGATTAAGATCTAGTCCACAAAGTTTTTCTGTTTCCTGTGCAAGAGAAAAAAAAAAAGAAATGAACAATCTAATTGAACAAAAAGAAAAATTGAAAGGTTTATAAAGGTACTTCAGAAAGTTTGTGCGGGGCCAGTGTTGTGGTGTAACGGGTAAAGGCGCCACCTGCACTGCTGGCATCCCATATGGGCTGGAGTCCCTGCTGCTCCACTTCCAATCCAGCTCTCTGCTATGGCCTGGGAAAGCAGTGGAAGATGTTCCAAGTCCTTGGGACCCTGCACCCGCATGGGAGACATGGAAAGAAGCTCCTGGCTCCTGGGTTTGGATTGGCACAGCTCTGGCTGTTGCAGCCACCTGGGGAGTGAATGAGTGGATGGAAGACCGCTCTCTCTCTCTCTTAGCCTCTCTGCAACTCTGTCTTTCAAATAAGAATAATAAAATAAATCTTAAAAAAAAAAAGGAACCACTAAGTTAAAAAAAAAAGTTTGTGGAAGATGGAATTAAAAGATAAGATTATTTTGGTGCAAAAATTTTTGGAAGTTCATGCATATGAGGAGTTCCTCAAAAACTTCATGGAAAATGCTTATTATGAAATTAACAAACTTTGTTTGTTTGAGAGGAAGAGATACAGAGAAAGAGCTTCCATCCACTGGTTCACTCTTCAGATACCTACAACAGTCCTGGACTGGCTAGGATAGAGCCAGGAGCCGGGATCACTATCCAGGTCTCCCATGCAAGAGGCAGGAAGCCTATTACCTGAGCAATCATAACTGCCTCCCAGGGTCTGCACAGGTAGGAAGCTGGAGCCAGGGCCAGACTCAGGAGTTGCACTCAGGCACTCTGATAGGGCACAAGGGTTCTTAACTGGTAGGCTAAATGTGGACTCCTTCAACCTTTTTTGGAATAAAACTTTTTTTAAAAATTTTTTATTATTCTATTTTTTGACAGGCACAGTGGACTGTGAGAGAGAGAGACAGAGAGAAAGGTCTTCCTTTGCTGTTGGTTCACCCTCCAATGGCCGCCGAGGCTGGCGCGCTGCGGCCGGTGCACCATGCTGATCCGAAGGCAGGAGCCAGGTGCTTCTCCTGGTCTCCCATGGGGTGCAGGGCCCAAGTACTTGGGCCATCCTCCACTGCACTCCCTGGCCACAGCAGAGAGCTGGCCTGGAAGAGGGGCAACGGGGACAGAATCCGGCACCCCGACTGGGACTAGAACCTGGTGTGCCAGCGCTGCAAGGCGGAGGATTAGCCTAGCGAGCCGCGGTGCCAGCCAAAACTTATTTTTTAATTCCATTTTGTGACAAACTTTTTGAAGTACCTTCACATTTAATGAATCAACAGCATTACCTAAACAAGTTGATCTTCTATGCTCTATGAAGTTAGAATTTTTTAAGCACAGATATAAAAGTCTATTTATTAGCATTAGCTGGCTATATATTGTCAAGGTAGCAAAGTGCTCTTTAATCCTCTAGTCCCTAAAGCAGTGGTTCTGTGTACTTCACAGTCACTTGGGACACTGACTAAAAACGCAGATTCACAACCTGTTCCCAGACACACTGAATCAGACTCTCTGAGGGTGGGACCTGGATGTTTGTATGCTGAATGAGCTCCCCACATGATTCTGATGTATTAACCTGGGGTCCTCCAAGGTCCAGCCTTTGATGGATACTGTCTGAAAACATGTTATTCACTCCCCATATGGAAAGATCTGAGGCTCAGAGAGGCTGTATAATTTATCCCAGGTCACACAGTGGTTAGCAGCAGAGCCAGGCTTTGCCACCTGTGCCCACATGTCAGATCCAATCATGTAGCCTCTCATGAAACATGTTTTAGATTCAGCACCCTGAGGAGACCAACTAAATCAATAAACATAACATACCATAATTAGGAGCCATTGTTTAAGAGCACATAATAGACTGTGAAATGTTTAATAAATTAGATTGAAATTATTTGAGAAACATAAATTTAGTACTATTTTGCTATATTAACAGTTATTTCAGGCTAAAATTTGCAACCATTCAACTAAATAAACATGAATACTCCTGCTACTTACACATTTATTTACCAGATGGTCAAAAATGTTACCAACTCTGTTCCAACTCTGCACATATATTATTTCCCCTCTCAGCCATATGGCAGAAATGCTAATATGTGATCAGAGTAGGAGAGGATCAGCCATGATACCAGAGCTGTAGGACTTACAAGTATGTATCATTTGCCACTAGGTTTCCTAACCAGAAATGGCTTCAATGTAAAGCATTCAATACATTGATTTTTGTCATAATAACATTCAAAAGCCTTGATCTATATTTAGTGTTTTATTTTTGAAATAGATTATTTCCAGAACACCTGTTCATAAAATATCAGATATCACAGATCCTGTCTCAGAAGGAAAAAAAAAATGCTCACAGAGGTGAAAATGACTTAGCTGGAGTAAAAAAAGGAGCAGTGTAATCACCAAGAGAACTGGAAATGGAAATAAAGGAGCTGCTGTGGTTGAAGTTCCTGGCTTTTCATCTTGGACAGTGATTCATTTCTCAAAAAGTAATGTCTTTAAGAACAGTGCCAGGCAAATCATTCAAAAGAAAGAAAAGGAAAAAATTACTTAGACATACACCTACAGTCATACTGTTATTTTTGCTTAACTTGTTTTCAAATACATTTCAAGTGTTCAGCATCTCCCTAGTTGGTCTCCCCTGCCAACCCCCTCCCCAGTCAGTCTGTGAAATCCAGGCAGACTGGCAGACTGAACATGTTCAATTTCTCCTCTTTTAAAACATACAACCTATACTATTGGATTGACCAACAAGGAAAAGTTTTTAAAAATGCAATGAGTGGTGAGAACAGCAAAATACCCCCTACTGATGTCAGTCTTCCTGCTGTTTCACTGTTAAGGCTAGAATACTTTAAAGCAATCAGTTCTTCCAGACACCAAACACAGCCTCGAAACCCAATATTAAACTGAATTACAAGTAGAGCTCTGAACTTTGGTTTGAACTTCTTTAAAAATGTATAATCCTCAACAAAATCTGAAAATGATCCTCACAAGACAGAAGCTGTGGCAACTCAGAAGGGGACTTAGAGGAGTCTCCTTAAAAATTTTTATTTGGGGGGGTACACAGGGGCTCCCACATTCCAGGAGTGTGACTCATGATTAGGAGAGGAACGGCATTTCCGGTCTTTCGTAGCCTGCTTGTTTCATGAGGCTGATACCAAACCATCTTTCTATCCTTGACACTGTATTGCTCAAGTGTGCTGACTTGCCCTGATTAAATTACTGCACACCCCTCCTTTCTTCATGTAGTGTTTGTTCAGTCACCAAAACAGATGTACTTTATTAGAAGAGGAAGAACTGACAGGGCCAGGTGAGGAGCAGGCGTGTGCCTCTGCTATGTGTCCACAGCACTGTGTGAATGTTGAACATGATTCACCAGCCAGCTGTCCGGCTCACCAGCCTGGAGGCCTTAAGTCATGCTTTGGTGTAAATAAATGCTGAAATGCCAAAGTGGCACAGTGGACTTCTTCCCTAAGCAATTAAGTTTATCTTCCCCATGAAAGTTAGCACAGTGAGCTACAAAGGATAAACACAACATTAAATGCAAGTTAACATAAGAGTTCCAATCTTACCCTTTTTTCTCTTTAAATGTTAACACTCTGAGTTAAAAAGGAGTGAGGAAATATAAAAGAAGATACAAGAATGTTCAATGAAATGCAACATAAACCTGATGGCAAATTGATGATAATCTCAGAAACTGCATTGATGGGTTTAGAACGTTTACATTTATTGTGTCATTGCCATCACACTAGGTGCCAAGAGGGAGGCACAGTCTAAATCTTCATGGCCAGCCTCCAAATCAGAAAAGCAGGGCCCAAAATGATTGACATCATTGGCTTCAGATAAAAGATGCAGTAAGTGACACACAGTGAGCAGAATGGGAGCTTGAGACTTTCTCCATCCAGCCTCACGCCCTCTCCAGGCTATGAAGCAGATACTAATGTGTTGGGAAACCAAAGAAGAATATTCTGAGAGTGATTTGCTAGGAAAATAAAAATCCTAATGGGATATTTAAGATCTCTTGTATCTGTTTGTAGTGCTCAATCCATAATGCTTAGAATATTTCTGGACACAGAGACGGCCGCTTGTGAAGTAACTTGCTGTGTTATTATTCAATGCTGACAAGTTTATTCTCCTAGATTCTGAAATTCTAAAGGGCAGTAGGGCAAACACAGATGATTTTGTATTTCTGACCCTTGGTTTTTGGTGAACATTGATTAACAATACTGGCACAGAAATACAAGCACCTTGCCTTCTCCATCCCCACACTCGACCCAGACCAGATGTTCTAACATTGCCTGTCACCCAGGGGCATGGAATTGGAGAGCACACAAATATTCAAGCAAAATATGTAAGCACAAGGAACTGAGGAGCTGGGGCATCACTTTTTAAAAAATGCCCAGCACAACCCCAAATCCACAGGGGAATCCTTTTGTCTGCTTACAACCTTGAGTTCCTTAAGAGCAGTTTAATTACTGCTTTGATTAAAAACAACTCAAATAGCCAGTGGCATGGAGTTAGTTTTGGTTGCTAGGCAACAGACAAGTTCAAAATTCTACCAATATTCTACTCATTAATTAGAATCAGATCCCAGCTTTGGTATGTGTTCCATATGCTAAATTCTCATTTTCTTAAGCTGTTTTTTTTCCTGCTATCCTTGAGGTGGTACATTTACTCAGCAACTATGTGCCAGGCATATTAAAAAAGTTATCTCATTTAACAACCCCATGAGGAAGGTACTATTATTTCCATTTTACAGATGAGGGAATTGAAATTCAGAGAAGTAAGTAAGCTGCTTGAGGACAGATTGCTTAGTAGCAGAACTAGTATTCCAGCCAGGTCTGCCTGATTCCAAAGCTCATAGTTTTCACTACATTATTCTGCTTCCACTATCCCAGAATTTAGTAAAAGTAGGCTTTTGTATCTTCTCTGCTACTTAGGTGAACTTGGGCATGTTTATTCATCAATGGAGCACAGGAAAT